AGATAGGAGTGAATAAAAAGGTAGAATTATTATAATCTTTTATTAACAAATATTTACTATATATTCTCAAAGCGTTAAATAAATAATATTTGAAAAAAAAACATGTAAGAAAGGGAAAAGTAAACAATATTTTAATAAAAACTAGAGTTTTCTGCCTCGAAATTTTATGTTTTTCCTAAAAAAAATACAAAATATTATTTTCTGTCTTTTATTATAAAATAATAAACTTACCTCTTTTCCATAATAAATTATTACTTGACACACGACTTAAAAATGCAAAGTTCAATTTGGTTCAATAATCAAAAACAAAATAATTATTATCCTTACTTCGCGCCAAATCTACACAGGTTGGTGATACTGAATTCACGTCCAATAAATGGGAAAAATAGAACATGTTCTATTTCGTCAATTTCTTCACGAAGTTATTCATGAATTTATTCACGGCAAAATTGGATGTCAAATTGTGCTTTACACAGGTCAAATTTGACCTTGAAGCGACTTCACGAATTTCTTCATGAATTTATTGTTGGTGTAAAGCCCGTATAACAAATACGAAAAAAAATTCTTCGTTTTATTTTTTAAATATATATAGGTAAGGCGATTTCCATATATTTCATATACGAGGGGATCTCAATATAAAATGCTACAAGTGCAAAAGATATCGTTGTTTTAAAATTGTATCATCTGACGCTAGACAGTCAATAATACGTAGTCTTAATTTACTTAACTCAGAAACTGCACAGAATTTGTACCTATGTGGTCTTATTACAGTTTCACAAATTAAACAACGGAGGTCAAGAAAAGATTTGAGCGATCCAGAAAAATTACATGAGTCAACATATATGTTTTCAGAGTTCGATTTAAAAATTCAGACGAAGTTACTACTGACGTAGAACGTTACTACTGAAGTTCTACCTATCTGCGCAAAAGCTTTTCTGTCTATTCATGGAATCGGAAGAAAGAAGTTAGAGTTATTGCAACGATCTTTGAAATTAACTGGAAAGGCACCTATAAACAAGAGAGGTAAACACGCTAATCGCCCTAATAAGCTATCGAAGGCTGTTACTGCTGCTGTGATGGAACACATATCTTCCTATAGGAAGAAAATCCCATTATAACTTAAAGAATTCTTCGAAAGTGTACCTATCTGAGGAATTAAACGTTTAAAAATGTGGCAGATGTACATTTCTAACATAACTTTATTTACGAATAAGTTTAATATTTCATTCAGGTACCCCCGAACAGATAGTTGCAGTACGTGTGATGAATACGTTGCAAAACTAAAATAACTCGAGAAAGAAAAAACTAACTTGCCCCCTCCCCTCTCAGTTCAAGCGAATCAATTCTTGTTCGCGAAAAACAGATGAAAAGGTTATGCAAAACCAATGAAAAAAAAACTTGCCAGTGCCTAACATTTCAACAAATGATGTCTCTTACAAAAAACAATTATCTGTATTTACGTTCATCATAAACGTACTAGCCTCCAATAAAAGTATTTCTTATACATACCCACAGACAATATGGAAAAAAGGCGCAGAAGATGTCTTCTCTCCTTCACTATTTTATCCATAATTTCCTTGATCCTTCAGTTGAAGAGTTGTTTATATTGGCAGATTCTTGTGGGGGCCAAAATAAAAACTATACAGTTGCAAGATTTCTGTATAGTCTTGTTCACATAGAGAAGAGACTTAAGACCCTACATATGATTTGTTCAATAAGAGGGCATTCATACATGGAAACAGATAAAAATATGGGGATTATAAATAAAAAATCAAGAGTTGAATTGCCAGAGCAATGGGCTGAAGTTTTCCGGAATTCAAGAAAAAAGCGGTTTCCTTTTGATGTGATTGAAGTTGGCCAAAATATGTTGAAATCCTGGACTGAGTATTTTGATAAGAAATTCTTTAAAAAATTTCAAACAAGATAAAAGTTTTGAAAATTGAACAAAAATCTCCCCATTTGATTTTTCATCGTCCAACGTACTAAGGAAATTTCGTTTCAAAATACAGTGATTCCAAAAGGCAAAACAAAACCAATGACACCCCAGTTACCTTTAGCATCTCATCAGCAGCTGCTACCTCTTTCTAGAGAAAAATTTGAAGATGTCGTGTCTCTTAGTGCATTTTGTTCCAAAGAAGCTTAGCAGTACTTTAAATCTTTACTACATCAGTAAATAAGTAATCTTTTTAAGTATATTTTTTTTGAGTATAATAAAAGTTTTTAATAATGAAGGACTTGTTTAACTTATTTTTGGATGCTAGTAGTATCATTTTTTTGCGTATCATTCATTTAAAATATTTTTTATTAAATTAATATAATTAACACTTATACTGTTATATAACATATTTTACTAAATTGTTTAGCAACCTGTTAAATAAAAGAATTTAGGATCATACAAGTTAAATAGGTATTACTAAATAAAAAAATAGAAAATATAGTTTTCTGAAAAATGCACTATAGTTTATTTTTATGAACGAGAGAGTAATTAGCATAATTTTAACTGGTATCTCCGACCAATCCATGGGCGTGCTCAAGATTAATTGAAAAATTACTTTGAATAATTGTAAAAAATAAATGAATTATTTCAGTGTTATAAAGTGTTATGTGTATGTAAACAAAAGTGACCTCTTTTATCACACACTATATTAGAACTGACTGGTCTACATTAAAAAGGGTTTTAAAAAATTCACATTTTTTTTAAATTTTTAAAAATTACAAAAGAGAAAAAGAGTTTTTAAAACCGTCTAAGGTATGTTAAATACATGAATAAAAATATTAATATAAAACTTACAGCTACTTGTTATAAATCCAAATCAGATTCAGAAGCCTTTTCCCAGTTTTCAGGTTTTACATTATTTACGGCCTCCAAAAACAACTACTGTTTAACATCATGAATTTTAAAAGTGGTATTTTTACTTGAAACTTCACTCTTTATCTGTGCCCATACCAGTTCAATCAGGTTTAATTCACAATGATATGGTGGGGATCTAAGTACTGTCATTCCACGATTTTTGGCAATTTCATCAATTTCGTATTTTTTTAATTTTTCTTTATGAAGGGCACACAACGAATAAAGTTCCTTTCCTATAAATCCGGGATGGTACGTAATATTTTTTGAACTCAGCCAATTCTGCAAATCTTTTTTTAACCACTTGGTTGTGGGCAGTCCTTCTATAAGTCTGGAGTGATAACTTGCATTATCCATTACTATTACACAGTTCTTAGGAAGATCTATCATTTGTTCGAACCATTCTTGAAAGACATCAGCGTTCATGTCTTCATGGTAGTCACCGGTACGAGTTGATTCAAAAGTTAATAAACCACCTTCAACAAAACCGTCTGAACTCCCAATGTGTACTATTATCAGCCTGCGTCCTTTTCCTGATGGTGGGTTTAAACCAGTAGATAAGTTATTTACAAAAGCGTGCCTTTGACTTGTAACAGTTTCATCCTGCCAAAATTTATTTGGTGTATGACCCTCGTTGATCCATGTTTCATCAAGATAAAATATTTTTCTTTTTTGGTTTCTCATTTCCTTTATGGTTCTTAGAAAATGTCTTCTCTATATGACAATATCGCTTCTTTCTAATAAAATAGACTTTCTGGGATTCTTTTTCCAGCGGAAGCCTATTTCTTCTAAAAGTTTCCATAACGTACTTCGACTCATTTCTGGGTTATCCTTATCATCTCGAACTGAGACAAGAATTTTATCCAATGTTGGAAATTCTTGTCTAAAGAAGAATTCATGCACTTTCCGTCGAAGTCCTTCTTTAAAATGATATTCTATTTGAAATTTTGGTTTCCTGGAGCATTACGTGGCATTTGAAAACTACCACATGTCTCTTCTTTAATAACTCTGTAAATCGTAGATTTCCCAACACCAAGTGTACTGCTAACTAACTCAACGGTCTCATCAACACTTTCACATAAACGTTTGTCTGTAAATGATTTAAAACAATTAAATATTAATGTTTTTTCATTAACTGTTAAAGGACCAATTTTTCGGCGTTTACACGGCACTTCCAAATTTTCCATAACACTAGTATACACAATAAACTGCACCTTGCAACTGAAGTACCTACTTTTAGTGAACTGTTAAGAATTTTGAATACGCCACTTGGACCTTCCTACAAAATGGAAAAACCCACTATCACATTTTCTGTGGAATAAGTTTAGAAGGTAATTATCTAGGCAATTACTGTCGTAGATTCCTGGAATTAAAGAATTAAATGTTTGATTGGTGAAATCCTTACTTCGTGGAATGCACTCATTTCAGATAAAATAAAACGTTTTATTTTATCTAAAGAATTAAACTTTATTTTGCAAATAGGTAGGTACTTATTAAACGTTTATTGGTTATATATAATCAATAAAATAAACATCTTACATTTCTTGCAAATTCATTAGTACCTGTTAACCTCCATCACTCCGACACTGGCAACCTTATTTAGGGATTAGTAACCCTCACAACTATTGTATTCTATTTTGCTCCAACCTTTATACCTGGTGGTCATACTCAATTTAAAATTGTTTTCCTATATACTTCTGTAAACTTGTTGACAAATATCTGTTTTTCATTGAGTCACCCGTATCAACAGTTTAGGGATTTGCATACATAATTTATTGTTTTATTACTCTCTCATACATAAAAATACACTATAATGTATTTTTATGTATGAGAGAAATTGCGTAAGACAAAAATTATAAATTGTATCTATCATAATGAATGAATACTGCAAATGAAGTTTTAATTCCACAGTCAAAACTTAAATAAATGGCTATCAAAGGGTAGCAATTCATAGATTAATTTAAATGACAAAATTATTCAGTCACCAGAAAGTATGAATTAAAAAGCGATGAACATTACCCGAATAATATTAATTGAGGAAACAAAAGATTTGTAATTTATAGTTATTAGGTAATGAGGGAATCAAAGGTTGTAGGGATTCGTATAAATATTGTCGGCGAAGAGTTAATATTATCAGAATAAATTGTGTTAACAAAAATTAAGCAGCTGAAAACAGAATTAAACAACAGTCATCATGAAGTATCTCGTGATTGTTGCCATATTCTTCGTCTCTGCACAAGCAGTAAGTCGATTTTTAGTTATATTTTGTTTAAAAATTATTCTTATTCACGTTTTTAAAATGTATGTGCATTACTAGTGTTCTAGTTTCTAGTACGTTTGAAGTATGAAAGTTTCGTATTTCAAACTTAGCTGAAATATGAAAAAATAAAAGAACTAAAACTTATTGCCTTGTTTGCTGGAGAGTAAGTGATCACTCGTACTAAATTTCTTTCTGAATGCGATTTGTTGTTTAGATTGGTGTCGAACGAATCTTTTTGTTAACCTTCTTTTTTTATTCTTTGGTATTTTTGTAAGTAATTTATGTGACGAAATAAAAGATCTTTACTATGAGCAGCTAAATGATGAATACGAGCGCCTACCTAAACGTGATGTAAAAATAATAATGGGTGATTGTAATGCCAAAGTGGGAAAAGAACCTCTGTACACTGCAGTAACTGGTAACTATAGTAAACACGAAGTAACAAACGATAATGGTCAAAGACTTATTGGATTTGCCATGGAGAAAAACATGGTGGTGAGAAGCACACAACTAAAACGAAAAGAGATATACAAAGGTACGTGGGTCTTCCCTGATGGAAGGGCGGTGAATCAAATAGATCATGTTATGAAGTACAATCAATTCATGAATGTGTTGCTTGTGTGAGTCCATTTCAAATAGGTAAAGAAATAATAAATAAGACTTACTCACAATCAATTTAATTTAACTATCAGACGACCGGTTTCGCTTTCTATAATATGCAAAGCATCTTCAGGTCTCGATACAGGTAATAATAACCTGAATATGGGTAAGATTTGGTTTGAATTAGTTAAATAATGATTATTTTATATTTTGAATAGAGTTCCATCATATTTCAACCCTTAAAAAGCAACCCTTCTTAAAGATTAATGTAAAAAAATTACTAATTCTAAAAAAATGATTTCGCCTTCGATCGATTTGGATAAAAATTTGGATTTAAGCTCAACTCACCCACTGCTTTATAGTTTATGTCATGTCGATGAACTCTGATTGTTCTTGGGGGTAAAAACTACCCCTAATTGTCAAAAATTATAAAATAACATATTAAACCTGAATATGGGTAAAATTTGGTTTGAATTAATTAAATAATAGTTTTGTGCTTTTGAATAAAGTTCCATCATATTTCAACCCTTAAAATGCGACCCTTGTTAGAGATTAATGTAAAAAAAAGTAGTAATGCGAAAAAAATGATTTCGCGTTGGAACGATTTGCATAAAAATTTGGAATTAAGCTCAACTCACTCTCTGCTTTATAGTTTATGTCATGCCGATGAACCCTGATTGTTCTTTCTTAGGGGTGAAAACTACCCCTAATTTCCAAAAATTATAAAATAACATTACAAATCTTAAGATGAGTGAAATTTGGTTTGGATTAGTTAAATAGTGAGTTTTTATACTTTAAAATACAATTTCAAACAATTTCAACCCTTAAAAATCAATTGTTATAAGTGCTATAGGTGAAAAACAATTTTTTGCCAAAATTTTGCAACTTTTCAACTTTTGAAAATCACCCTTTACAACATTGCAGTTTTTATAAACTAATTTAATAGATATAAATTGAAAAAAGTAGAATTAAATACAAAAAATTTATCAACATAAAAAGGCACCATATATTCTTATACATTTACATAAATAATTGAAAATAGTTACATTTATCTTTAAAACAACTATAATATTAATTTTATTCGTCATCAATTACATCTTCATCGTGATCTATGTCATCCTCATCTTCTTCAATTATTGGTGGACTATTATTGCACCCTTCACCTGAGCACCCAGAACAAGTAGAGTTACATTATAAACCAACTTTTCTGCACCCACATGAAATGCCGCATCCTTTTTTGCATTGGCAAAAAATAATTTTCAAAAGTTCATCAGGTGCAGGTTGTTTGTTCATGCGTACGGGTAATAACAAACCATCTTTTAAATACCATCCCCAATCTATTGCTCTGATATTTTCATTGCCAAGCCATAGACATTTGAGCAGATGTTTTATTCTGTTGTATGGGATTTCAAAATAAGAACGCTTAAAAGTTCGAATGTATAACGCCCCACTACCTAATATACCGGTTTTGTAGATTATTATGCTCCGAAATGTACTGTAATATACTAATGGAATTTTCCGGAAAAAAAATTAATTGGTTTTTTTAACGTATTTCCTTCATTTTTAACGATAGAGTGTTTCTTTAAAAACGATTTTGTAAAGGTTTTTAAGAGCTACAAGGATCTGTGAATTAAATCTCTTTGGAACCCTTAAATTTTTAAATGGGGTGAGTAAAAGGTACTAAATAAATCTTTTTTAATCAGATGATGTCTACTTACAATTTAAAAATTACTAATTTCATGAACTTATATCTTATTTAATACATTAATTAACATGAATAAACCCAATGTTACGCCTATTAAAATGTAAACAAACACGCTTCCTCATTTCCTCATCTTAAATAATGTAAATTTTATGTACTTACAAATGAAATGAGAGATCGGGATGTAAATATTTCGTTTATTTTATTTCACTTTTCACAAATATCACTTAAAATACAGCCAAAATATCGAAAAACAACTTTTACTAAAAAGTAAACAAACATGGAACAGCATTTGAAGTTTGACGTAAATCCATAAGACAGAGAAATGTAAACAACCGTTGCCATTTATAAATAGTTTTCAGTGCTTCTACATATAAAATAATTAATTGATATCTATTAATTCTACGCTATTATTAAATGATAATGCACACTATGTGCACACTTTATATTTTGATTACAATTAAATATATTAATATAACCAATAAATTATTATTTTGGTTTGATAGCACCTGTAGAGTATAAAATACGGAGTAATATTTTCAGCGACTCGCGAATAAGAAAAAGGCTCGAAAAAGATGGTGCTTGATCGTAAATCGATGCTTTAAACGGCTATATCTCGCTAAATATTCATTGTACAACAAATCTAAATAAAGGAAAATTTTAGTCATTAAAAAAGCTACAATTTAGTACATTTTTATTTTTTTCATATATTCAGTATTTTAAGGCATATTTAAAAAAAGAAGGGTAAAAAATATGAAATTGTAAATCGTTTCTCGCTTTATGCTGTACTTTTTCTAAAACTAAGCATTTTAAATGGGTCAAACTTCTTGGACGTATTAACAATACATGTACAAAGAGAATTGCAGAAGGGTAAAGATCGATTTTAATTATAGGCGTGGTAAGGGGGTTGTTTTCATCGATTTATTCGTAAAAAAATGAGGTATTGACCTTATGGTCATCATAACTCACTCAATTTTTGAGCTAGAGTCTTTTTTTTATGATAGGTCTATTTATGCTCTTTAAAAAAAGGTTCTGTGAGTTTTTTTCCAAAAATGCGTCATTTTCCCGATATTTGACTTTGAATCTTTCAAATTTGGCATTTAAAGAAAACCGCTGAACATTGATAGGCCGTATTTCGGTTCCTGTTATATCACAAAAACATTTTAAAAAATGAATTGTATTTGTCTTTTTAATAGCTATAAATTTGTTTTCTACAATTTTTTTGATAAAATGCACCATTTTCGAGTTATTCGCGAAAAATCGATAAAAAACGTCGATTTTTTCGTCTAAAAGTTGTTACTTTCAATCGCGAATAACTTGAAAAATATCAGTTTTACAAAAAAATGTATACAACATTTTTTGTTTAGAATCACTTTTTTAATCGAAACCTGTAGTTAAAACGTAAAAAAAAAATTTCACCCCCAGGATGGGGTGGCAACCACTCCCAAGGCTTTGGCGCACTTTGGTTCGATATAGATTTTGATCCTTGGCTATTACCTACCTTCTGTTAAAATTTCAAGTCAATCCACGCAGGACGAAAAGATTGCGAGGTGAAATGCTTCATTTCCTGGACTATAAGTGGTTTGACAGCATAATAAAATCGTAGATTTATGTGTAGCTTTCAATTTTTATGATTTTAGAATCCAGCAGCCCGCTGAAGTATTGGATTTTTATAATATAATTATTTGACAACCTTTTGTTGGTCAACCACCTACAGCAGAATTGAGCCGAAATACATAATATTTCGTATGTTCCGAATTTATTTCGTTCAATCTGTATATATAATATTAAATATATATATACAAAAACAACGTTTTAATTCTCGAGAGAGAGAGAGAGAGAGAAAATATATCTTCTGTCTCTCTCTCTTACTAATATCGTACATATGTAATGGTTTCACAGATTCAGTCCCGTACAAATTTCCAACGTCGAGCGCGTGTATAGAAGTATAATTTCAAAAATTACTTCTACTACTAACAATCAAGTGTTAGCAATATTACGTGGTCGCTTTAAAAAAAACTGAATGTTTTTACAATCTTTATTAATCTTTAGATATAATTAAAAAAAATTAAATCACTTAGTTTAAGAGGGGCCGGTCGCCCCTATTACCCTCCTTTGCATCCGCAGCTGCAGATTTTGCTGATGCAATTTCTTTCTATACGATTTATTTTCTTTGCTAACGTTTAAAATTCTAACCCTCAATATTGAAATCAATACGCAATGATCTGAGTCTATGTTTGCGCCTCTAATTAATAGAATTTATCATGCCTTTCAGATTGACCCCAAATTAGTCTCAGAATTTATGGAAAAACTTGCCAACTTTGGAGAAAAATGTATGATAGAGACCAAAACAACAAGTGGTGAGTAACTCTTTAATATTCACATTTCTTATAGTTACGAAGATGTTGAATAAAAAGTACAACAACAAAGCTTAAAAGTAAGAAAAGCAGCGGGATCTCTTAACACCTAAGACAAGACACAAAAACAAGAATCTATAAAGCACCAATTAGACCTATATTAACATACACGGTGGACACAAGACCTGACAGATCTAAAACGAGACGAAAACTAGAAAAAACAGAGATGAAAATACTTTAACAAATGCCAAATTTGCCAGAGTAATCGGTGCGTTTTGATTTGGTTTGAGTCTTCTTACAAACTCCTTCTGATGACGGGTAGACCCAGAAATACGTGTCAGGGAGTGGTAAGAGACTCAAATTAAATCGAAACGCAACATTCTTCGTATATTTATCGTCCCTACTCGACGCAATGAGTACAAAATGATGGTAATTTATATGGGTAAATTGTTGGTACATAGTGGAATATTTATTCTCAGTACCGCTCTGAATGGCTTGTTTAAGCTTGGGTTTACAGTTTACTTTAATTGCTATGGACGTATCTTCAACTTTCCTCACTAGAGGACTCTAGTTGCATACTCTGATAGTTATTTTTATGTAATTGCCAGAGTAATCGGTGCGTTTTGATTTGGTTTGAGTCTTCTTACAAACTCCTTCTGATGACGGGTAGACCCAGAAACACGTGTCAGGGAGTGGTAAGAGACTCAAATTAAATCGAAACGCAACATTCTTCGTATAACTTTAACAAATATCAGGGAAGAATCTGTTGGATAGGGAGAGAAGCGAAAACATATGAAGAGCATCCAATATAGAAGACATAAATGTATGGGAGACAAAACGGAAACAGGAGTGGAACAAACACATTAGTAGAATGTCAGAGGCATATATTGAAGAAAAAACAGGCTTTAAAGCCTACCTGCAAGAAGAGAGAAGAAGAAGAAGATTTATTATAGTTAAATTGAAGATGGCTGTGCTAAAAATCAAAAGATTAAGGTGTAGAACATATTTAGCATACCTATCATATAGATTCTGTTGTTAATCTCAATGTCTTAAACGTATTGAGTACTTTTAGCCTCAACATCAATAAAATCATTTAAGTTTTACATGAAACAAACAAATCAAAGAAAAAATGGTAATCATAGAATCTCATAAGAGAGTTTCTCTCTTCTATTGCCGACCAGAATGTAGCTTCCACTATTTTTTAATTACTTTTAAACTGTTTGTCCTTGTTTAGTGTAGTGGAATATTCAATTTTATGTTTAATTGTAAGTTTATGACATTCTGCAATTGTTGGATAGCCCAAAATTTGACGAAATGCTTCTGAAGATGCTCTAGGAAACGAAAGTACTTGGGCAAGATTTAATTAATAAAACAGTGCTCGATATCTGCCTTTCATTTTATCAAAGTTCATTTATTCGAGCATTCAATCTTATATCAATTCAAAATAAATAAATTTTAGCTTTATTTTTACTATAATTATTGTTAATTTGATCTTTTTCTTTTGCTTTTTAAATGCAAGTAAATACATACCTACAACGTTATGTTACGTTTGGAATATAGTATAGATAGGTGAAAATAAGGTTTTATCAGCAAATTTACTAATTACGCCTGATGTCCATATATTAATAAACAGTTTAATAAAACTTGATCAAATGGTAATGTTCGTATTACTTTACTTTTTAGAGGTACCCTTTTCTTTATCTCTTAATATTCCTCTATATTATAAGCATTTTTAGATATCTAATGTAAATTTTTTTCCACAGAGGATGTTGCCCGTATCATGGCACATCAACTTCCAGAAACTCATGAAGGAAAGTGCATGATCTCTTGTGTCTACAAAGCATTCAAAATCGTAAGTTAAACGTACAAACACATTACACTTTTGTCAAAACTCAGCTTAATGGGAAATCATCAGTTAGTAGTGCTAATAAATATCTTGTGATTTTTAGCAAAATGAAGATGGAACCATGAACTCTGACGAAACTTTGAAACTTATGGAGCAAATCAAAGACAGCGATCCAGAATTGTTCGAAAAAATGATGAAAGTGTTCAAAACTTGCCATGGAAGGCCAGGTAATATAAGGGAATATGTATTTTGATATGGTATTCTGCCTATGCTAAAATGATATATAAATTATAATTCAACTTTTAATTTTTTTCAGAACTTATTGTCGTAGATCCCTGCGTAACAGCTGTCAATATGGGGGTATGTGCAGTGATTGAAGGAAAAGCGGTAGGTACCAAAGTTTTTTAATTCATTTTTAACAGTTTTGTTTTATATATGGCATTGATTTGCCATATAGGTTTTTACATCATTTACACACAAATTATGAGGAGCCAAAAAGAAAGAACAGCCAGAAATCTACCGACTCATTTAGCGTTGGTTGACTTAGAAAAGGCCTATCATACAGTTATCTTAAAAAGATTGTTTGAAATATTGACGAAGGCAGGCCTAAGTAATATATGCATCAACTCAAAGCCTATATTCAGGAAGCATTAAACACCTGGAGAAGAAAATGCACAAGGATGTAAACAGAACTTGCGAACAAGCACATAATAAATCTTTTCTTCGCAGATGGTAAAGTGATTATGGCAAACGATGAGGAAGACATGGATTATATGATTCGAAAGTTAACCGAAGAATGTGAAGTAGGGACTCGCGATTAACAGTAACAAAACGGAATATCTTGTAATAAACGATGAAGAAAGATACCCTCAACTCTCGATTAAAGATATAATAAATGCCAAGAATTTAAATACCTAGGAACAGAGACAGGCAGTGTCATTTTTTATAGCGTTCATCGCTTAAGTTTAAGTAATACATAACATGAATCTCCATGGGGTGAGGCTCCTTGAACCGCGAGGCCGTGGGCTGTGGCCCACGTCGCCCACGTCCTACGCCGCCTCTGGAGACAGATAGCGAAGGAAGAAATATCGAAACGGGACATTCAGCAGAAAATACAACAAAGCCGAAATGTGATTCAAATACTAAACTTATTACTTTGGTCTCCTAAAATTAGTTTATGAACAAAAATGGCAATCTACAGGTCGGTTGTAAAAACAATGTTGACGTACGGAACTGAATGTTGGCAAATGACGATGAAAGAAAAAAAACTGGAAGCGGTAAAAATGGACTAGAGCGTGTTGGATATCCATATTTGATCATATTTCAAATAAAGAAATAAGAAGACGAACAGGAAGGAACAATACCAATAATTTTTATGGTATGCCCATGTAATGCGAATGGAAGACGAACAATGGCCAAAACAGGCTTTAAACTATGTTCCACGGAATAGAAAAAGGGATAGAAAGACTTGCATTGGAATGGAGAGAAGGAATCGGAGAAACAATAAGAGATAGAGCATTAAATGAGGAGAAATGTTATATAAAAATTCGAATGAGTAAAATGTACCTAACGTTAGCCCTCGAAGATGTGTTCATTGACTTTGGAAAGGTCTTTAATTGAATGCTGGATTCTTAAAGACAAACAGAGCAATAATTGATCATAAACGTATACAAAAATTATAAAGAATATATACTATAAAGTACCTAACACCAACAATTCGCAATGTTGTTTATAAAACTATATATTGCCTATATTGTCTTCGCATTTCCTGTAAATACGAAAATTGCTGTAGATAATAAAGACAACAAATCAAAATATCACACTGGAAGAAGTTATCCAGTTAGAAGGGTATCCAAGAAAACATGGAAAAGCAAAAGTTTTATATGAATACGCTTCTTCATGAAATATGAAGATCTCTTTTAATCCTCAAGGGTCTCTTTTAATTCCTTCCATTTTATTCTGTCGTGTGCTTGCTGGAAGTCGATGAATCGCTATCGTTGGTAAGTTGTGTTCATAGCTTTCTGCTTGTAATTCTCTGATTGTGAATACTTGGTCCGTTGTGCTTCTCCCTCGTCTAAATCCACACTGGTATTCGCCTATTATATTTTCAGCTTCTTTTTCCAGCTTACATTTTATGGATTTTGATAGGATTTTATATATGGTATTTTGTAACGCTACTCCTCTGTAATTACTGCATTCTGTTTTGTCTCCTTTTTTGTGTAATGGACAAATAATGGCTTCCTTCCAATCTTCTGGTATTCGTTCTTTTATCCATATCTCTTTTATGATCTTGCATATCCAATTATTTAGCTGTTTTCCACCATATTTCATCATGTCTGCTGTTATGTTATCGCTTCCAGGGGATTTGTTGTTTTTCAGATTTTTTATGATTTCCTCGATTTGTTTTTTGCTAGGTGAATTATTTTCTATGTCGTCTATGTGTTCGATTCTTGCTTCTACTTCCATATGTTCTCTTTGGTTTGACTTATTATTGCCATTTAGTAATTCATCAAAATACTCTTTACATCTTTCGACTATTTCTGCTTCCCCGCTTATATTATTTCCTGCTTTGTTTTTAACGAATATGGGTTTTTGTTGGAAACCTTTTTTTTCATTTCTAGCACCCTGATATAGGTTTTTTATTTTTTTATTTCTGTAATTCTCTTCTATTTCTTTTAGCTTATTTTCTATGTGTTTTCTCTTCTTTTCTCTCAGCACCCTCTTTACTTTTTGTCTTTTCTCCCTATATCTATTCTTTGTCTCTATTGTTTCTTTCGTGGTCATTTCCATCCTTAATGATTTTCTTAGTTCTATTTCTTTTTGGCACTCTATGTCGAACCAGTCTTTCATCTTTTTATTCTCTTGTTTATTACATTCTTTTGCTGCTTTGTTCATTATTTGCTTTATGTTTTCCCAATTTTTCTCAGTTTGCTCTTCTATTTGGATCTTTTTTAGTTCTCTTTTCATTGTTTTCTCGTATATTTCTTGCTCTTTCTTTGTTGCTAATCGAATTGGGTTATGTATACATTGTATACTTTTTTTTATTTTATTTTTGTTTTCTGGTATCAGTTGCTTAATTTTGATACCCACCAAGTAATGATCTGAGTCAGCGTCTGGTCCTCTGTATGTTCTTATCTTCTTTATACATTGCTGTTCCTCTTTTTCGATGAGCACGTGGTCTATTTGGTTTTTAGTCTTTCTATCTGGCGATATCCATGTTTCCTTGTGTATTTCTTTTCTTTCGAAATATGTGCTCATTATGATCATATTTTTTTCTCTTGCGAAATCTATCAGGAATTGTCCGTTCTCATTAGTTTCATTGTGTTTACTATATTTTCCTATTGTCGGTCTAAATACTTCTTCCTTCCCTCTTTTGGCATTTGCGTCGCCTAGAATAATTTTCATATCATATCTGGGTATACTGTCGATTGTTCTGTTTAATTCACTGTAGAAACATTCTTTGACATCATTATCTTTTTCTTCTGAAGGTGCGTGAATATTTATGAGGGTGATTTTTTGGTATTTTCCCTTGAACCTGATACTACATATGCGGTCTGATACTGGTTTAAACTCTACTATTGCTTCTTTTAGCTCTTTTCTTATCATAAAACCTGTGCCTAACGTTCGATTCTTTCCACCGCTGTTGAAAAACATTGTATCCTCTATTTCTAATACTTATCATTTCCCAGCTGTTTCGTCTCCTGTAAAGCTACTATATCAAAATGGAACTTTTCGATTTCTCTCGCTAAATGTTTAAGTTTGCCTTCTCCATATGTGCCTCTTACATTCCATGTTCCTAAAAGTAGGTGCTCTTTTCGTAATGTTTTCTTGTGTTTTGGTTCGGTTTTCATTTTTGTACTCTTTTTTCCTATTTTTGTATTTTCCTTAACCTTGTTCTGTGCTTGTTTCGTCAACGTTATTTCAGTAGTACATTTAGTTGCTAGTTTTTTGATGTTTTTTTACACATTGCGCCTTCTTTGTCATTCCACCTTCATTCGCTGTTATTCACCCATATTTTTTTACTCCAATTTTTACTTCATTTCCTTTATTTCTTTCTTCTTGAGCAATGTTTCTAATTGTTTTCTGTATCTCTCGTTCTTTTATGGTTGCATCTTCGTTGATATATATTTTGTACTCTTTAATTTCTTTTAACTTGTGCTTTTTTTCCATTATTTTTTTTTCTTCTTGGTTTTCTAATTCAATTAGGCATGTTTTTTCGCCTAACTTGTGAGCATTTCTTATGTTAACCTCTACCCCTATATGTTGTTTGATGAAATTATTGATTATAAGATACTATATATAAGAAACATACCAATCAATATTATACAAACCATCGTGACTCGTTAAGCCCACTTCTGTTTAATATAATAAGGTATGAAATAATACAAGCAGCACATAAAGGTCATGGTTATAGAATGGTAAACAAAGAAATCCAAATATTGGGCCGAGACAGAAGACGAGCTCCAAAAATTAACACACATCTTTAATACAACAGCCAAGAAATACAATTTGATAATATCAGCAGAAAAAACCAAATCTATTACAACATCTAAATACCCACTACCATATAAAACTGAAATTGATGGGAAAATAATAAAGCAGGAAGCAAGGTTTAGATATCTGGGAATAGATATAACTAGTTACGGATATGTTGAAGAAGTACACCAACAAAGCTTAAAGGCAAGTAAAGTGGCATCATCTTTTAATGACAATATCTGGAAAAACAAATACCTTAGACAAGATACAAAAACAAGAATCTATAAAGCAGCAATTAGACCTATATTAACATACACGGCGGAGATAAGACCTGACACATCTAAGACGAGACGACTACTAGAAACAACAGAAATGAAAATACTTTGATGAATATCAGGGAAAAGTCTGTTGGATACTAAGAGAAGCGAAAACATAAGAAAAGTGGAAGAGAACACAAGTGGAAAGAACACATTGATAGAATGGCAGAGGATAGGATAGTACGAATAGCACGAGATAAGTCACCAAATGGACGAAGAAGCATTGGCAGACCAAGAAAAAGATGGTGCAATAATTTAAGCAATTTAGGAGGCTAATATTAAAGAAGAAATAGGCTTTAATGCCTACATACAAGACGAAAGAAGAAGAAGAAGGTTCATGTTGTTCTTCTTCTTGTTGTGCAGTGCTCGATTATCATGCATAAGCAGGGGATCTGTTAAATCATTCCATCAGGTTTCTAAGCGATGAACTTCGTCTTCGATGGATTATTTTACTAAAGTATATCTCAACGTTCTTTACTGGAAGGTACCTATAACAATGTAACCGTTTTTTGATATGAGATTGACTCTTTATCGTCTGATAATTCCCTGCAAATGAGTATAAGTACCTAAGTACTAATATACCTATACCTAAGTACTAATCTTAAAACATGAAATTTACATTCAGTACAAGCCCTTACAGAGATGCTTAGATAAGTGGGCCATTTTGGCAATCTATGCTGAGCTTGTTGGAATGCTTCAACCAAGTAAAAGACGATAAAAACCGTTATTATCTTTTTATGTTCAGTCGCACAATGGAAAATAATTTTAAAGTACCAAAGAATACGATAGATAATGTATGCCTTGATGTTAAAATCAAAAATTGGGAATTAAGTTGATGGAAGTAAAAAACAAAAAGACAATATGTTACAACTGCTTGAAATAGTGGGAAATGCTTTGTATATACCCAAACTAAAATGGATTTTTTAAAGTCTCAATTTATCTAATATTTTACTAGAACATTCACCATTTTCTTATTAGGAAAAAATTTCTTATCAATTTCAACTCTTTTTTTTTGTTTTCAGCTTGGCATCAAATCCGAAATGTTTGGAATGTGATTTTTTGTTGGATTCTTAAATATGTTTCAACTAGATGATCTGTTGTTTGTTTAAATAAAGCAATTATACGTTTTTGGTATAGTAAATTATTGTGTTTATATTACTTATCTTTAAAAAATGTCAATTGAATAAAAAACGTGGCAAGATATAACCAAATATTTAATTTATATCCATATATTTCTCCATATTATTACCACCATAAGAGAAAACACTTTCTTGAACACACTCAGACTGTAATAAACGAGACCCCAAATGATGAATATATAATCATTATGGGTGATTTTAAGCCCATCTTGGCAAAGATATAGTTTCAGGAATAAAACAGCGAATATAATTAAAATATCAGACATGAAAACAGACCGACCCCTGCAGCTTAAACAAAATACGTATTATCAGTGGCAAAGCATCCTTAGGAACCAAAGGGACTGGGCCCCACCAAAAAGTATGTAATAAATTTAGATTTTTACCAGCGGCGGCTCGTGGCCTAAAAAATTTGTGAAGATAAGGAAAGCTTGCCGGAGCCAAAAGGAGTTTTGGTACCTACTTCACGCCCAAAGCTCAATAAAAATTCGTTAAAAAAATGTATAGAGTTTAGGGTCCCAATAACTTAAAAACAGTTTTTTTAGGGCACTCAAACTAGATACGATTTGGTCTGCTTGCCTGACGTATTTTACTTCTGAACCTTGACATTTCATTGAGGGTTTTTTGGCGATTAAAACACCAAGCCTGCTAAAACGGGTGGTGAGTCTCGATTCAGCCGCCCACTCTGGGTTAGATGCTGATTGCAGCCGATCACTCTGGATCAGAAGCAGATGTTTAAAATACTGCTTGGTCGACCATATAAAAGAGCATCCGTTTTATCTTTATTTTTCTAATGCCTAAACGGAGTCTCTAATATATTACATACCAAGTCATTAATTGAATTCATGTCTGTCTAAAATTATTTTTGTCCAAACGAAATCCACGAGAACACTTTATATCCGAAATCCGAAACAAACCACAGAGAAATGTATTAATAAAGTGCACTAAACAAATAAAATTAATACTGTAACTAAACTAAACTAATAAATACTATACTATACACTATACTATATAAAAATATCTATATAATAGACTAAATTTCAAAATATTGTCGCTGAGAGAAATTTCCGAAAAATAGGAATGCCAAATACACATCCAACAGTGGTAGTGAAGACGGATAATGAATTTTGAGACGGAACTGCACTCGCCAGTTTTCTCAGCTATAACTAAGGATAGGCTGACTTTCATTTTTTTTCACCGGCCGCCGCTGATTTTTACTTACGACTCTATTTTATAAAAATATGCATTAAATAATTTATTTTCTCGTGTATATCGTCTTTTCCTCGTGATACAAAAATAATACATTGCACAATCACGTACCATACCTCTCTATTGATTGTCACACCATGCACTGCAGTGGGCCACATGGAATCGTCCGTGTGTGAAGTGTTGCTAGATAAATCACATCGTGACTGATGTGTCTGAATCGACCTTTAAGGTCAATTCAGACACATCAGTCACGTTTCGTCACAGTGATTGCGCCGAATCGAACAATCCGTCATACAAAATATTCTTTAATACAAATATGGCGCCGGCATTCACACTCATCAGTTGACAAACAGTTTGCCAGCTGTCAAATTTCGACACGTCTATCGCCCGGCCGATTTATATCTCAGCGACGAATTTTTTTGCTTTTACCGGCAAAATGACGGGCGGTACAAGTGTACAAACTAAAATTAATGACGAAAAATTAATAGAATGTGTAAGAAAATATAATGTTTTATATGATTTTTCGCATGCAAAATACATGGACATTAATTTTAAAAATAATATTTGGCAGGAAATCGGAGAAGAAATGAAAATACAAGGTAATGAACTTTTGTTATGAACTGTTTATTATTTTTATTTCACTTTTTATTATATATGTACATATAAAATATAATGTTTACATAGATATTTATTTATAAATAATTTTTATTTTTATTTTTAATATATATATATATATATATATATATATATATATATATATATATATATATATATATATATATATATATATTTATTTTTTATTGTATATATATATATATATATATATACAATGTACATAATAAGGAAAACAACATAGTTTTTAAATTTTTTCAAGTTGCCACGGCAAAGATCCCCCTGGCGAAGTAAAATTCTACATTTGGCTCATTTTTGTCATAACTGTACGTGTATCCATCATATTTTTTAATAAAATTATGTAGAATACAAGTCGCCAATACTATGTTATCTGCATTTTTTGGTGCTGCTTGAATTCGCCTGTTATAAATTCGAAATTTTTGAGATAAAATGCCAAATGTATTTTCAACAACTCTTCTGGCACGACAATGGCGGTAGTTGTAAACACGTTCTGCTATATTTCCTAAATCCTGACGTGGATAAGGTCGCAATAAATATGTTTGGGAAGCTTTGTTTTGTGGCTCCCACACAGTTGGGGAAATTCCAGTTTGTGTAGAAATCTTCAGCAATGGCTATCCACCTCTCTTCAGTAAGTTCTGGTAGTGTTTCCGCTATTAAACTGTTGCATATAAATTTACATGTATCATGTGCAATTTCTTGCACTGTACTATGTCCTAAGCGGAAACTAAAAGAGATCGTCAAGAAAGAGTCCCCAGTTGCCAAATACCTAAAAAGAAAAGAACTGTAGTACTGTTGTTTATGTAAAACTTTTATTCTATTATCAAACCATTTTTATGTTATCTGTCTTTTAACAAATTACATTTTTGTAGGTCAACTGTGTAAGACTAGATGGGCAAATATTAGAGACACATTTAGAAAGTGTTTAAAAAGAAACATCACAAAAAGTGGACAGAGTGGCAAAGTAACAAAGAGGTACAAATACGCTGATCAACTAAGTTTCTTGAAAAAACATTTTAATGAAAGAGAAACGATAACTAACATTAAGGATATTGATAATGCTCAACAAGAGTATGAAAAAATATTGCCTGAAGATGAAAAAAGTAATTCTGGCGATGAGAAGGAACAAAATGTTTCTGCCCCAAGCCAAGAGACAAATGATGAACGAAATGAAATAATAGAAGCAACCAAGAGTCAAAGAGAAGATTTGTCTGCTTCAATTCAAGGGACTGAAATACTACCAATACAAAAACACACTACTACATCAAAAAAGAGCAGAAGTAAAAGAAAAGTTACCTATTATCAGCCTTCTGCTTCAGCAAAACTCATGGAGTATTTAATTAACAAACGTGGGGAGCAACTTACGGCACCACCAGATGCAGTTGACGCCTTCCTAGCTGGCATAACACCAGCCCTAAAGTCGCTTTCGGCTCTAAATTTTCATTTTGCGAAATCAGAAATATTTTCGGTTGTACAGAAATATGAGCTAAAGTCTCTTCAAGAACAAACCTATAATAATAATAATCAGCAAGAATCAAGTAGTACCACAGCACTTCCAATAGTATCGCCTTTATCCAGTTACCAATACGCTAATACATCAACAACCAATTCACCGATACAATCACCTATTTATATCCAATTCCAATCTCCACCGCCAATACAAACTATGGATGATGATGATACTACAAGCTCTTCTAATATTCAAGATTTTCAGGATTACTTTGGCAGCTTTCAATAAAATATGTATTCTATGTTTATATAATAAACGTGTATATTTTATGTATAAGGGTTATACTATTTGAGAAATGTTTTAGTTCTTATAAAACTTGTGTATATTTTTAGTTATTAAATAAAGATTTAAGCGTTTTTCTTTAATCGTATAATGTGGATCCAGAATATTGATTAGAAAAAGTAAAACGTTTCAGAAATTCACCATTTTTGAAAAATCACGTTTTAAAATTAGAAAAACATAATATCTCATAAATTTATTTATTTCGTACGTACCTTAAACAAACTGCAAGACGCTGCCTCTTTTTCAGTGTGTGTCTTTTTTTTTCAATTCTTGTGAAATTTTTGAAAACAATACGTTAAAGAAATTTTGCGACATTCTAAAATATTGATGGAATTTTACATCATCATGAATCAGTTCTTTATAGAGTGTCACGTATTCCATGATTGGTTGCCGAAGACTGATACATTTCGGGGTGCGAATAGACGCACGAATATTTCTGTGACCAGACGGGACTGGTTCGGTACCGTGACTGTAACGTGACTGATGTGTCTGAATCGACCTTTAACCACCAATACATTTTAAATAACCAATTAAGTTGTTTGGAAAAAAATTGTTACAAATGTAAGTCTTAACTATTTGGCATGTTGTAAGAAAACTCTTGAAACTCATATTTATTTAGGGAAGTAAACGCGGAAATTTGTATAGGTACGAGTACAGATTTAGACGCTTGTAAACCACTGTTTGTATGTGTGTGTGTGTGTGTGTGTGTTTTTTTTTTTAATATTTACCAATCACGGCTACGGAAGAATGTCGCTTTTGAGTAGCCCAAGGTTGAAACTGGAATTATTACACGCACTTCTAACATTTTTTAAAGCATCTTACTGTTAAGTAATATAGCATGGGAATTCACCACAACTGTTATAAATTGATATTTTACTTACAAACTTAGAAACTGTGGTGAAGTCCCGAAATTCCTTTATTATATCACACAAACTATAAAATACAGAAAAATAATACACGCATACTATGAAAGCACAAGGTAGATGGGTAAAGTTTGATGGTATTATATTTTTGTCGCATTCTTTTTAACAATTTTTGCATGTTATAGAGATGCTCAGGCATAGGGCTTTGTGTATGAATCGACTATTTTTGGATGAAAAATTTGAAAATAAATTGATTTGTTCTTTGTAAGGTCTTGTAATAGGTATATAAAATTTGTATAATTCATCATTATAAACAAAAATAAATTTTCTTACAATATTAAGATAGAAATTACTGTAAATTTGGTTGCCTGTCTTAAGGTATGACAAGGAAGAGTATAACCACAAAAAAGGTACACAAACTCATATACTTTGGAATTTAGTAGTTTTTAAGTTTTCATGGAATTTAAATTAATTGTATTATATAGAATTACTAATTTGTTTTATTACCTATATTTCATTAAGTGCCGAATAAATCCTCGGTAAATGACTACTATTTGTCTTAATTGTCTTATGTCAGAATTGTCAAATGAAAAAGTCAACACACTTTTGGATCCTTTTATTGCATGTGGAGAATTTGCCATTTTTCGGTAACAGATTGTTGAGGAAAATATTTATTTTTAAATACATTATACACTTATGATAATATTTAGAGAACTTCTACACTTAGAAAGTATATATATTAACAATAAAAAATGGGTAAATCTAAAAAAATCCGCAAAGGAGGTGATGAGAGGTATGTAGGAATATCACAAGAAAGATCTGTACTTAATATTCAATAATATTTTTAGTGAGTCCGATAATGAAAACAGTACCCAGGAGGTAATTGACAAAGCCAAAACAAAAAAGACCAAGCCAGTTAAGTAAGTAATCTTCAAAAAAACCTAAAAGTTAGGTTAGTTAATTCCTTTTAAAAAATATCTGTTTTTATTAATGTTAAGATCCCAATCTACCAGTGATGAATCTAAAGAGGAAAAAGCAGACGCCAAGAAGGCAAAAGGTAAGAAAGAAAAGAAACAAGTGGACTCTGAAGGATCAGACACTGAAGTGGTTTCCAAAGTGAAAAAATCCTTCGCTCTTCTTCAAATCGATGATGAAGATTCAGACGATAATTCTAAACCCGCGGCGGAGGACGACGATGATGAAAGTGAGACAAAACCAGCTAAAAAGGACAGTAAAAAGAAATCTAGTGATGAAAGGACTACAAAAAACCAGGGGGGTAAAAAGGGGAAAAAGAATAGGAAACGTGATGATAGTGATGAAGATATAGAGAAAGTGTTAGCTGAATTAGAAATGGAGTATGCAGGTATTAAGAAGGAACCTGAACCGTCCAGTGAGGAAAAGCCTGTAGAAAAAGTGAAGGAAAAGAAAAAAGACAAAATGGAAGAACCAAAAGGGTGAGTAAATCAAAAGATTTATTAACAAGCATAAAGTTAATTAATAAATAATATTATTGCCAAATGAAAAACAATCTATGAACATTTTTTATTCAATAGAAAAACATAAATATGACAACAAATAATTTTTTGGTTAGCTAAATACATTTCTTATGTAATCAATATAAAAATGATGGTGTATCAAATTTTGGTTTATATGTACCATTTAATATATGTGGTTTCCTTGAGTATCCTTTGTTGAAAAGTCAAAATCACAGTGCTGAATATAGTCAAAATCGTTTATAACGAACTTCAGGGGACTCATGGTTTTTGTATGTTGTAGCCAGTGTGCTCTGTAAGCAGTTCTTTCGGTTATAATGAACAGGTTGCTAAAAATGATAGAACACTGGTAGGAACGGTTAGTTCGTTTTACCTAGGTTTATGACGCAAAAAATGTCTTACTTTATCTATATGTTATAATAACATATACATAACATTTAACATATGTGTTTATTTTACTTATGTTTTCTATGAAGGCTAGACAAAACTGAATTCAAATTCAAAAACTCTTGGCTTGGGCCAAATGGTGTAATATAAACAAAATTTTGTAATACAATGGACCTGTCGAGGGGTCTAAGTGTCTAAAGGACAAGTACTTAATCAAGTGTAGATGCCTGCCCAGATGTACTATAACCATAAATTAATAAATCCTTACTTCTCATTTCATGGTACTAAATATCGGTAATGCCTGTGAGAAATACAACACTACAATGTCCATTTTCATAACTTTACAGGATAGCACTTTTAAACTTATTTATTAAGATGTGGAAACAATATTATATTGAACATTGTATCTACTGTTATTTACATCATGCATTGGTTATAATTATTAATTTATTTATTATAGAGTGTGTAAAAATGTCATAATTGAAGAAAAAAATGGATGTTGTATCATCTGAGGTACAGATATGTACTTGAAATTGTACGCTGTGACCAATATTTTAACTGCTAGTGTTCCAAGAAATACATTTACTCGTAACTGATTTGTTCATTATAAGCAATATAAATGCGTTTTTTTTTATATAAGTCATTTTATGGGACCTACTATTTTGTTTATTATATCCAATTGTATGTTATAGCAGGTGTCATTGTAAACGATTTTGACTGTATAAGACCTTGCAAGTACATCTCCAACTGTTTTAATACCATTCTGTTAATTAATGGTTTGTTCTATTAACAGGGATTTCTAATAACCTAGTATAATTCCTTAGTTTTGTTATTTTCTTGTGTATTATCTACAGTACACTTTAGATAGTAGTAGTAGTAGATATGTGTGGTAGAAACATTCATTTATATGAAGAATAAAAAACATCCATAAGAGCTATTCAAAGTGGAATAACCCAGGAAACAGCAAAAAATTAGAAATTACTTAAACTTTTCCTTTTACTCCAAAAATATAAAAATGAAATGATAAACTATTTTGAGATAAGAACAATTCTTCATTCTCAGTGTAAAGCAACTTTTTATTTCAAATAAATGTGTCTTGTCTACTGTTGCCATTGATATCATCATCATCCAGCCTCAAGAGTCCACTGCTGAACATAGGCCTCTTCCTCATGTTTCCAACCCCGTCTATCTTGCGCCGCTCTTATCCAGTTTTTATTGAGTCTTCTTAAATCGTCAGTCCATCTTGTAGGTGGTCGACCAACCCTTCTCTTGTCTTCCATTGGCCTCAATTCCAGTAACCTCTTTGTTCATCACCCATCTGTGATTCTGGCTATGTGTCCTGCTCATCTCCATTTTAGTCTGGCTATCTTCTCGATGATATCAGTCACTTCGGTTGTTCTCCTGTCATTGATATAGCACCTGTGTATACCATAAACCAGGGCAAGATTGGTACCAATTTTGACATTTTAGTTAGTAAAATTTTTGGTATTTCACCTAGAAAACTGAGCTTTTCATACAATACTGCTCATCATCTGAACTTTCAATTCCAATTAAGAAAAAAGTTTTAAACCGTTGGGGAGGGGTGCTATAAATTGTTTTATTGTGTACCATTCTCACCTCAGAAAGGTGGTGGGAATGGTATATCACCTTCTTCCATATCGTCAGCCCAATGCCAAAACCGTGAATGTGAAAAATATTGATTTGGAGATATTTGGGCTTGAATGTTTTGATACTCTACTCTCATACTGTGAAAATTCAGCTTTTTGTCGGAATAATTTTCTTTCTTGGGAGATATTAGGATCTACTTTGACAGTTTATGACTTGCTTATTATTTTTTCTGTTTATTAGCCCCACCTTCCAAAATGTCACATTCTTGGATTTGGCATTGCAAAATTTTCTTTCAAATGACTTACAGTACAATAAGAAAACCTAAGACACAATGATTTTCAATATTTTTATTAATTTGAAATATCAATAAACATGTATATTTTCATTGGGAAACTAGTATAAACAGGGTATCTCTATTTATAAAACTTTTAACTTTTGGTTGATTTGAGATGAAACCTAAAAATATAATTATATGCATCACTAAGCATTAATAACAAATTTATATTTTAAATAAAAAATATGATTAAATTAAATTACTGCAACTACATTGAGAACAAGAAACAATTATTATGGACTATCACAATATATGTCATAATAATATGACATGTGTAGTGTATCAATCAATCATCATGATCAATTAAGTATCGATCGTAGGTAGCTAAAACTATTACTTTTAACAATTATTTCACCATCCAAATTTATCATTCTAATTGTACTATATAACTCCATCTTTAAATGAACATTAAATACACTGTTTTTTCCTACTAAGTTGTAAACCTTTTTTCTCAAGAGCTTGTCTGCACTGTTCCAGTTTTTGTTCAAAGTCACTTGCACCATTTTCTACTGACACTGGATCATCAAAATATATTAAGCATAAGGAAATGTTACTCTGTAGTTTCACTGCTATTTGATCATTTATTATAACAATATTTATGTTTATATTTATCTTTTAATGAAGGGCCAATAATTTAAGATACAGAGTTCTTCATTTTAACAGCTTATTCATCGTCAATTTAAATTCCTCCTTTTGCAATTTTTCTCAAAGTAATCAGTGATACATCTAAGGCTTCTGAAGTCCCCTAAAATATAGAGTGTATGTATACCTATTGCTTAAATTTAGAATAATTTTAAACTTTTCCCACAGTAGGGATAGGTGCTCGTGTGGTTTTCCATTCCCGTTGGCACCTGCTCTGATTACTTGATTTCACTCACACTTTAATTACATTTAATCCAGATTTAATACAATTATAAAAATAAAAATCAACATATATCGGAGCATTTAATAACTTAAGTCATGATCTTTATGATGTTTAAATTTTAGTGAGGAAGCTGAAGAAGATTCAAAACCAGAAGAGGGCAGCACTGTGAAAACCGCAGCACAAAAGAAAAAAGAGAAGAAAGAGAGAGAAAAACAAAAGAAATTAGCACAGAAAAAGCAAGACGTACCTAAAGAGGGTTCTGAAGAACCTGCTGAACACCAAGAGCAATCAAAACCAGAAGGGGCTGAAAAGAAACCTGAAGTAAAAGACAAAGATGATAAGCAAGAAGATGATGACCAAGAGGGTGATAAGAAGAGCAAAAAGAAGAAGAAGAAGGGCAAAGAAGATGATGAGAAAGATGCCAAAGACGCAAAGGATGCGAAGAAAGGTATGACTGTGTAAAATTTTGTAATCTTTAAATAATAAAAAAAAATGGAATAATAGTATTTTAGATCTATATTTTTGTTATTTCAGGTCCCGGCAAGAAAGCCATAGCAGCTATGCAAGAGGCTCTGAAAAAAATGAAAGAAGAAGAAGAACGTTTGAAAAAGGAAGAAGAGGAACGTTTAAAACGAGAAGAGGAAGCAGAACAGGCCAGATTAGAGGCGCTGAGGTTAGAACAAGAAAGAAAGGAGAGAAAGAAGCAGGTAATATTGTCATTTTTTATTTGTAATGATGGGTATCAATAATCTGAGGTTATTAATGGAATAAACACTCTGAGTAGTCTGTGTTTGAGTAAATGCCTAAAATATATCCAATCATACAATAATGTATGAAAGTATGTGTCTTTTTTTTTTGTTTTTGTTTCTGATTATATCTTCATCATCATCAGCCCATAGTCGTCTACTACTGATCATAGGCTTCCTCTAAAAACTTCCATTCAGATCTATCATGTGCTGTTACAATTCAGTTGGTGCATATTCTCTTTATTTCGGAAGTCTATCTCGTGGGTGGTCTTTTCTTCTTCTTCTTCAAGTACCATGTTCAAAATGAATGTTGGCTATGTAAAATGATCACGAGGCTATGCATCAGCTATGGCAAAATCAGTGCAATCTGTATTTTGTCTACAGCTTTTCTAGAGGGAGCTGTAGTGCTGACTTCATACTATTGTTTAATCTTAGGACTTCTGCATTACATACTCTGTATATCCATAATATTCTCAGCATCCTATGGTAACACTACATTTGAAGACATCAGTTTTCTACAAATGGCACTAATAAGAGTCCAAAATCTTCAACTCCATTATATAAAATGCTCAATAAATAGCACTGTTGCATCTGAGATCGTAGCATCATGCTACACTGAAGATGACACGACAAGTCGTGACTAAAAAAAATGGTTTTATTTTGATAAATGATGACCTGACGTATTCGATTCTAGCAAGAACCTCGTCCATATTATCCCAGTTTTCATTAAGCTGGCAATCTATGTATTTGTAGGATTGAACCCATTCTACTTGTTGGTCATTCACTTCCAATATGCTCCTGATATTTTTTTGAGACCAACAACTACTTTCCTTTTCCTACATTCAAGTTAAGTGCTGAAATCAGAACTATTGGATGCAACTCCTTCGAGCAACTCTTGTAAACCAGAGTGTGTGCAAATAACAACGGTATCATTGGCATACCTTAAGTTGTTTATTTTTATCCCATTTATGAACAGGCCTTTTTCGAAGTTATAGAGTGCTTTGTTTATTATTTTGTTGCTGTAAACTTTAAATAACAGCGGAGATAGTATCTCTGACTAACAACAGCTGTTCATCAACTTTTATTTGGGAGGCCTGTTTCCAGTACAAGTTTTATTTATACGTCCATGACTACACCATTCCTTGAGTTTTTCGCTGGTATTTCGTATATATTCGTGGTCTTCTCAGGTTTCGTCCATCCGCTCTTTGATATTTTTTTGGTCCTTCTACTTCATTGTTTCTATATTGATTGCATTTTTGATTATTTAATTATTACCTGTTAACAATAATTTACATAAATGCATCTACAATTTACTTCAACGTTTTGTAAACGTTTAGATCCAACAAGTCAATCTTCTTCTTTAAGTTCCATCTTCTATCGAAGGTTGGAAATCATCATAGCTATGCGGACTCTGTTGACTGCCGCTCTAAAAAGTTCTGCACTACTGCATTCAAACCATTCCCTTAAGTTCTTAAGCCAGGATATTCTTCGTCTTCCCACATTTCGCTTTCCTCGGATTTTGCCCTGCATAATAAGTTGTAATAATGTGTATTTTTGCCCTCTCATCACATGTCCCAAGTACTCAAGTTTTCGTCTTTTAATAGTTAATATTATTTCCGCCTCACTTCCTATCCTTCTAGTTTCCTATCCTTCTAGTATATTCGTAGGATTCTTCTGTAACACCAAAATTCAAAGGCGGCCAACTTATTCAGATGAACTTGTTTTAGTGTCCAAGCTTCCAGACCATAAAGAAGAGTAGAGAACACGTAACATCGAAGCATTCTCAGGCGTAGTTCTAACCTTATATCCCGACAACAAAGAAACTTTTTAAGTTTAATAAATGATGTACGTGCTATTTCAATACGTGTCTTAATTTCTTTGGTTTGGTCTACATCTGATGTTATCCATGTTCCTAAGTATTTATAGTTATTAACACTCTCAATTGCAGTATCTTCAATAGTCAATTGGATATTTGCATGTGCAGATTTAGTCATGATCATGCATTTAGTTTTCTTTAAATTTATCTTCAGTCCGTACTCATGACAGCGTTCATTAAGGCGTTGCATTACGTTCTGTAAATCATTGTTGTTATCCGTAATTATTACTGTATCGTCTGCAAAACGTAAGTTATTCAATACTTCTCCATTGATAGATATACCTTCTATTGAGTCTGAGAGCGCTTCTTGAAATATCGCTTCACTGTAGACATTGAAAAGTAGTGGGGACAGCACGCAACCCTGGCGGACTCCTCTCTGTATTTTGATACTTTCGGTGTACTGGCTGTCAACTCTTACCTTGGCAGTTTGATTCCAATATAAATTAACAAGTCAATAGGGATAGTTATTTTTTAAGCTTACACTTTTCTATATTTACAGAAAGAAAAGGAACGCAAAGAAAGACTGAAAGCCGAAGGAAAACTATTGACTGCCAAACAAAAGGCTGATAGAGCTAGGGCTCAAGCATTAATAGATAGTTTGAAAGCACAAGGTGTAGAATTACCCGATGTAGGCGAGAAGAAACCACGACTGGGAACGAGGATAAGGCCGAACAAGCAGAAGAAGGAGCAAACTCCAGGTAAATAAGCTATTTTTACTATACTAAATTCCAACAAGCCATTCTCCCGATCTAAACAAACCTTACTGAAATGATAAGATAGAATAGACTATGAAGTTTCTTTCGTCTACATGGATTCTCCTTCCGTCTCTTGTATGGCAGGGATTTCAAAAGACTTTCAATTTAGCCTGTTTAAGTTTAAATTTATTCCCATCTCGGACTACTTGTCGACTTTGCGACTGACTTGTAGACCTCTATTGGTGGCCAGCTTAGAGCCAAGATTATCCAATGCTTCAACCCTTGCCCTCTACTAAAGATAGGTTAGTTACATTACCAAGACGGGCTAATGTCGCCTTTAGATCCTCACTTTTAGTCTCTGGAAGGTATGCCAGCACACATTTTTCGCCCAGCAAGTCGTTTGTGATATTAAAGAACTCTTCCTCAGCATACATCGAGTCAAAGTACTGCTACAAAGTTGGGGTCACTGCTATCTTGATCCTCCTTAGAACATCAATAACAAACACATATAAACAATCCAAAAAATCCACTAGGAAACTAAGTTCCTGTAGCGAATATATACAAGCGAATCTTCTACAGCTGGCGCCGCTTCTCGCATCCTAATTTCCAGCGTTTTCTGTCGAAGCAATCTTCAGTTGTTAGATCTCTGGCGGTCATTGCATCGTCGACATCGTCTCTCCAGGATCGTCTTGGTCTACCTCGTTTTCTTCTAGTTGGCGGAGTCCATTCTTCAATTTTTTTTGGCCATCTATTTTCCGGCATTCTCTGAAGGTGTCCATACCAGTTAAGTCTTTTGGCTTCGATTGTGTCTATTATGTCTAGATCGATTTCAATTTCTCTCCGAATATCTTCGTTTCTCACCCTATCAAGTCAAGTGAGCTGGCTTCATCGTCTCCAGTAGTTCATTTCTATGGCCTTAATTTTTTTATTTGTTTCTTTGGTTTATTTCCCAGAGTTCGGCACTGTACAGTCCAATACTTTCTATTATTGTTTTATAAATTCTTCTTTTATTATTTTTTTTGTTATTGTTTTGTTCCATAATAGTCTGTGTAGCTGTCTGGTGCCTGATCTTGCTTGGCCAATCCTGGAATGTATTTCTTCGCTACTTCCTGCTTTTGATGTTATTTGGACTCCCCAGTATTTAAAATTGTCTGTTGATTTTATAGTTCCCATTTCGATTTGTAGGCTTTCTGGTTTCTCTCCTACAACTAAGTACTCAGTTTTTTGTATATTAATTGTGATGCCCATTTGGTGTACTCATCTTCCAGTTTTCTAAGCATGTATCCTACATCACTCTCGTCTTCAGCTAGAATGGCTTGGTCGTCAGCGAAGTGTATCGTGTACAATCTATCATCTCCGATTGGGATGCCCATATCTTCTCCATAGTGAGAGTGCCTCATTTAGATATATTTTGAAGAGTGTAGGTGCTATGCAGCAGCCTTGCTTTAGGCCCTTACTAATAGGAATTTCTCTAGTTAATCTATTTCCAGTTTTAATGTTTGCCGTCAATAACAACAAACAAATAATACCAAACACAATAACAACAACAACTTGAGGAGAAAATCGCAGGTTTGATCTTTTTATTTTTTTGTCGGGAGTACTTCTAATGACTTCACAGTCCACTTAGCAGCATGTATCACATCAGTTCATCGAGACGTAGCTGGAGGTTTCCGTGGTATGACGACCTTGGCCAGGTCGTCATCCTTTTAACTCCAGGTAAACCTTGCGAGTTATTTAAGTGCCTCGGTGTTTTCGTCTTATTAGAATAATTGCATCGTCCTCTAATTCTGGTTTCTGTTCCGATGTTTTGGGGTTTGGTAGCTCTTCCTTTGACTACTAATCATCCTTTTTTGAAGTAGTTTGCTTCTTAGGTCTCCCTTTTTTATGTTTATTAATTCGGTTCGTGCTGGTCCCACGAGTCTAAGAGAAATTAAGTATCAGTTCATACAGAGCTCCTAATGTCGGTCTTCTTCTTCTTATAGTGTCGTCTCCCTACGGAGGTTGGCAATCATAATGGCTATTTTTATTTTAGAACTTGCTGTTCTAAAAACTAATGTCGGTATAAACCTACAATGAACGTAGATTTTCTTTTAAACAGCTGTCATGTGGTATGGGTACAATACAATATGCCCCTAACTTTCATGTTGCTGTTTTCTTGGTCCCTGAGAGTTGGCCTAGTTTGGCGGGCTCAATCACCATCACTAGTTCACAAGCCATCAGCTTGTTATAGAACCGATTCTCCTATACAGTCCTTTTTTACTGTTTCTTCATCGCAGATGTGAAATAATGAAATTTTTGCAGTGATGAAACATTGTCAAAGACTGGCTTTCAATTGTCACGACACTGTTTTACTATGAGCATCCATTTTGGGTGGTAGATAACCTAATTTTTTTATTATTGCATTAATAATAAATAATGTCTTTTAAGTTCCCAAAGCTGAAGAACAAGAGGAAAAAATAGAAAAAGAAGAATCTCCCAAAGAAGAAGCAGTTGCTGTACCACCAGTAGAAACAAAAGAACCGGAACCAGAAGATGATGTCAAAGACGCTTGGGATGCATCGTCCGAAGAAGAGGATGAATCTCAAGAGACTGGTAAGAGCACTCTGTTTATTAACATATATTATACTGTATTTAACGAGTATGCATTTTAGATATTAAAGCACATGAATCAGGAAAACCATCCGAATCGAAGGAAGCGCACGATGATGAGGAAAGCAGCTCTGAGGATGAAGACGATTCGGACAGTGAAGAAGAGGAGAGTGATTCTGAGTCAGATGATGACGATGATGACGGTAGAACTGCTGCGGAAAAGGCTCGTGATAGAGCTCTGGAAAGAATCAAAGTAATAGTTCAACCACATTAGTTACGTCCAAAATTATCATAACTTATTTTAATTTCCAGCTTCGGAAAGAAGATGCAGAGAAGAACAAATCTCCAGACAATTTGAGAGCTGCTATTGTTTGTGTACTTGGACATGTAGATACAGGAAAAACGAAGATTTTAGATAAATTGAGGAGGACCAATGTGCAAGATGGTGAAGCTGGTGGCATTACTCAACAGATCGGTGCCACGAATGTGCCTATTGACGCTATTAAGGAACAAGTTAGGATTGTTAGAGGGGTAAGATTTTTTATTTTTACTTAAATATTAATTACTACAGCAGTAACCACTTCAAACGTTAACAAACATATGAAAACATATTTGCTGTAATATCAGATATTTCATATGATCTGTTTTAATGTATATAATATTAGTGTAATAAACTAATTTTTTGAACTTATCAAAAAGCTATTAAGCGCTTTCTGATTCATAAATAAGGTTTATAGACCAAATTAAATCACTTCTACAATACTCAGATCAGTACTCAGGTCAGTTTGTTAATTAAGCTTTACAACTATCTTTGTTTTCCATTGTTATCTTTATAAATTGATCCTTCGAACCGGATGTAGTTAATAATAGCATATGTACAGTTTGTTAATGGAACAGTTCAAAAAATTGGAATTCACGCAGAGGCATCACTACTATATGTTGGTCGGTCTTCTTTATATTCATTACCCAGATACATAAGAATTTTAAGTTGTTTTCGATGGTTGTGCCATGATGTTAATGTATGATAAAACGACTAACCATATTGCGTGCAACTTTCAATCCTGATATTGTTTAATTCATGTATTATTTTTAGATAAATGAGAAAGATATGAGAATTCCCGGACTTCTAATCATCGACACACCCGGTCACGAGTCCTTCTCCAATCTTCGAAATCGTGGTTCTTCACTCTGTGACATCGCTATATTGGTCGTAGATATTATGCACGGTCTGGAACCCCAAACTATTGAATCCATCAATATATTAAAAAATAAGAAGACGCCTTTTATCGTAGCACTGAACAAAATTGACAGGTTGTATGACTGGCAGACTATGAACAGGAAAGACATTAGGGATGTATTGAAATCCCAAGCCGGAAATACACAGATGGAGTTCGAACAGAGGACCAAAGAGGTCGTTGTACAGTTTGCTGAACAAGGTATGTAAAAATAATTATGTTTTAGATCTATGTTAGTTCAAAATACATCTTTTAAAATTTATATTCTTGTCATTATAAGTTTCTGTAGCGGACTCGTTCTAAGATGGAAATTTTTGCAATATTTTTGTATTTTGACCTATCTCTGTTAGCATTTTCCACACAATTGCCTGTTGGTCATAGTTTTTTAAATTCTCCTACATTAAAAAAATATGATAAAATGGTTTATTATACAAAATACCGGGTGGTGAATCGTCAAACGGGCCATAGGAAACTCAATGGGAAATTTTAAATTGTTGAATTGCTGCTTCCCTAATTATTTTAAATCAAAAGTCATAAAAAACTATTTGTAGAGGACTAAATTCTTAATTAAAAAAAAATGTTAAAACTGTTCTACGAATCACATGTACTTCAAAATTTTGCAAAAATATAATAGATTTTTCAGACCACCCCTAAAAGTTAGGCCACACGTAATACAAGAATATATTATAAGGTGTGTGTTTTATCATATGGATGTTAGATGTTTGACAATTTGAATTGTCAATTTTTTTATGTTATGATTAAATTATAAACAATGAATTTTACTAAATACTACTACTACTGAACAATATTACTTCGTGAACAATAAATTATATTGTTTACAAATCGATCAATGTAATGAAATGTACTCAGTTGACGAAAAATCACATAATGTTGTATTCAGGCAATAGCGCGAACCTTTTCCTGTCATTACCGGATCTTTATTTAAAGTAAGATATTCTATTCTTTGTTTCAAGTTAAGAAAATAACATTACGCTTATGGAGATCAGTGTTGCCAAAACTCTCAGACACTCTCTTTTGCACGGATGTCCAAGATATTCACTTTGCTTAATTTTTGAATTTTCATTTTCAATTAACATTTAACTGTAAAGTCAGAATAACTACTAAATAAAAGCCTTATTATCATTATGTAGTCAGAGAACGACATAAAATAGCTGACATACGCACATCGTATTATTTTAAGTTGCAATTAGTAATTATAATATAATATTATAGATATACGCGTTCCAAGCGGTCAATATTTTCTACTGATTTCTATGATTCATGGCGTATCGTATTCTCACCGAAAAACAAATAAACTGTCGTTACTATAATTAAAATAAGATAAAATAAAATTATCTTTTGTAAATATTATTTATCTAATTAAAATCATTTTCCCTACTTTTCATCTCTTTTTTCGAATGGGCACTTTTGGTCAATTACGTTAAAAAACATTAATTTAATTCATGTTTGTGGAAACAAAAATACAAATTATATAACCCTAAATTGTGCTTGTGTGTGTCGTGGCAACGCCGCGTTGCTATCGTCCATAAGAAATACATGGCCCTATCTCCGCAATGTTATTTTCTAAACGTGGAACGTAGTATAATACACTAAAATTTAATTCCATGTTAAGTTAAGTTATACAACAATTCAATGAATTCCAATATACTGTTACTGTGATCTTTATTCCTAATAATAATATACGATAATTTCTAAACATAAAACTATAACAAATGTTATAATAAAACATGAATAAAACTTTTTTATTATTGCTCTTTTCTCCTTAACTGAGTACATTTTTTAATCAACTTAATTTTTCTTTTAAATAATAAATCACAAAATTTTGGCCATTTAAATCATAGATAAATATAATATAGTTGATTTAAATATTGTCAAATATTAGAAACGTCAATATGACAAAACGCAACACGTAATACACATTCTTTTCACGGCGTCTGGCCTGATTTTAGGGGTGGCCTGAAAAATATATTATATTTTAGCAAAATTTTGGAATACGTTTAAGTCGTAGAACAATTTTAACAATTGTTTTCAGTACATATTTGAGTCCTCTACAAATAGTTTCCCATGATTTTTGGTGTAAAATAATTAGGGAAGCAGGAATTCAACAATTTAGAATTTCTCATTGAGTTTCCTATGGCCTGTTTGACGATTCACCACCCTGTATAGCTGACATAGTTTACTAATAAATATATTTTTTATGTTTGTGTATAGCGATATACAATTAACTGACTTTTTTTAGGATTGAACGCTGCTCTATTCTATGAAAACCCTGATATTCGTAACTACGTCTCTCTGGTTCCTACAAGTGCAATCACAGGAGAAGGAATGGGAAATTTGCTGGCTTTAATAGTAGAATTTTGTCAAACAAAGTTAACAAAACGTCTCATGTATTCTGATGAGCTTCAAGCCACAGTTCTAGAAGTAAAAGCCATTCCTGGTTTAGGTAAGTTATCGTATACTTATAGTTAAATAAATATAGTTATCATTCAAGGTCAAAGTATGTGTCAAATGATAGCCCTTGATTAGTGACTCAGTGTGTGCGTATCATCTGAGTTTGCTAATGAGCAGTTTCCGAGAAAATAAAAATACTTAGACCACTAACAAACTAGCTTTTGCTTCTAGCGTATTGTTACAATAAGGATATTAACTATACTTGAGAAAGAGTTTAAAACGGTAAATAAGAATTCAAAATGGTTAATATTTTTTTTTAAATACAACGACTACTTTAAAAATTATATATTTTATATTGCGTTTAAAAATTCGCTCTAAAAAGCTTATACTTGTCACGTGACGGCTGTGATATCATGTTCCGAATACTAGTAAACATGTTGAGTGATATAAAGCTTTTTCATAAATGTTGTACTGAGAGATCTTAGACAAGGAAAGAGAGAGGACGGGTAACGCTCGTTCAACCAACCATAAAAAAGTGAAGCCACTGTTCGATGTGTCCGCCATGTTTTTGGTGGCACACAATAAATGTGACACCAGTTTTCTTTTGTGTTTTTTTGGGGAAATGGGGAATTGTGCATATATTCTTTGTAAAATCGCAGCGAGCAGAAAACACCAGGATTATCGTTTCATAGGTAAATATTTATAATAGTGCAATTAGGTAAAATCGTTTTTATCGTTCTTGACGTGTGCGTGTAAAAACACTTGCAATAAGTTGTTTCAACTGTCTTTCTTTGTCTAAGCTCGATTCGTTTACCTCCTCCAATGGCGGAGCAAAATGTAGCATGTCAAACGAAATAATAGTTATAAAAGAAAATTATAAATTATTTTTCATTAAATTTCTAATAACGGAATATACGTATAAATTGCGAAGAAGTATTTTTCTAGCTTCCAGTACAATAGGACAGGATATAACGAAAAGTACATTTTAAAAGGATTTTGAAATATACCCAAAAAAGTGTTAATTATTTAACCCACGTTAATTAAAAAATGATACAGATTTTTTAAGTTTTAAGCACTTTCTTCATCATTGGAATCTTCCGCCAAATCGATGATAACCCTACTTTCATTTTCATCATATGTGACCATTTTTGCCCAGTCGTCCTGAGCTAATTTTTCAGTATGGTTAACACAACTCGCCCACACTGCTGGTGTTGCCTCAGCTAATGCATCGCCCCAAACTTTTTTCACTGTTTCATCTCCACGTCCATGTTTTCCAATATGACGATCACAGTATTGTTTAGAAATGCCCCAGACCAACTCAATCGGATTATATTGACAGTGATATGGAGGCAATCTCAAAGCCTGATGCCCATGTTCTTGGAGTAGCTCGTCTATAACGTACCTGGTATTTTGTGGTTTATTCTGGCGACAAAGACTCAATAGCTCTGTCTTGTCCAAATCGTCGTCAAAATTATTTTTTTCGCTCGTAACCATTCTTGTAAGTCCGATTTTTTCTAACTGGCATTCGGTAACTTTTCTATTAAAGAACTATGGTATGAGGCATTATCCATAATAATTAGAGATGGTTCCTTCAACATTAGTATCAGCTTTTCGGAGACCCACTTTTTAAAAGACTCTTCATCCATAGAATCATGATAGTCTGCACTCTTCGATTTCGTAGAAAACAGTAATCCAGCATCTTTAACAAATCCTTGCCTACTTCCGGCATGTAAAACAACAAAGCGTGTACCTGTATTTTCGTGTCCTTTTCTGATGCTTTTCACACAGTCATCTTGCCCAGTACGTTTATATGCTCCTTTTAGGAATATCCATGTTTCATCTAAAAAAACGAACTGAAGTGGGCTTGGACTTAAAAAATTTCTCATATAATGCATCAAGAAATACAGTCGTTTGGAGACAATACATGGTTTCTCACACAGCAGTCGTCTACTATTTTCTAGTTTGTATGAAAACCCACAATTTTTATAAGACGCCACAAACTTGTATCAGAACCGTCATAGAGATGCTTGTTTCTTAATTGTGTATTTAGAACTTTAATTGTAACGTGCTCTCCTTTTGCTTTCATGTCATACAGTACATTTCTAATCTCTCCTTTTATAGTATCGCTGACATCATTAGTCTTTTTTTTGTACATTACGTGACTCTCCTGTGTAGTAAGAGCTGCCCCTGTCTTGTATTCACTCTTTATTCTTGTCACTGTGCGAAGACTGATTTTCAAAGCGTCCGCTACTCGTTCATGTACCGATGATAACGAAAGCAAAGGTCCATTGTTTTCTTTTTCTTTTTTAAAATACTCCAATAAATGAACTACACATTGTCGCATTTCTCCTGTTATCGTTTTTCCCGGCATTTTTTTTTTTTTTATTAAATAGAACAATTAGTTATTCACAACAAAAAATATTAAGTAAAACTGTTCGGAACAAATTCCAACAATGACTGACTAAAATCGACTAGAACAACATAAAATATCAATGGTAATTGCTACAATTATAAACCTATTAGCCAGCTCATTCAAGAACAATGCCACAAGTCATTATTGCAATGGGTATCAGAAGAGAGAGAGTTAATTTATAATAAACTGGAATTTTTAAGGTGTCGAGAGTATTATTTTATGTAATGGAATTCCACACAGTAAGAGCTCAAACTATTAATTAATTAAAAACTGTTTACTTATAAAAACTGTTTCATCAGCTATTTCAAACCTGCACAGATCAGGGTAACATGTTAAAAAAAACACGTCACTGCCAGCTATCTGTATTCGTAAAAAGGACGAACTTTACGCAAAAAAAGAGCACCGTATCGGCCAAACGCCGGTAGGCTACGTAGTAGCGTAGTAGTAGAGTAGTTAGCAACGGTAACTTTGTTCTCCTGAAGAAGCTACATACAATTGTAGCGAAACGTCGAGATGAACCCACTTTTGGGTCACTCACAAATGACACGGTCCAAACCCGGAAGACGAATAAACTATAAGAAAGCGTATGCTTACAAAAGATCAGGTTTCATAGAATTTGTGAAATAGCCTTAGACATAGCCTATAACTTACTAATATTTTGGGCTCTAATAATTTAATCGTCTATTGTAGAACTTTGTGTAATGTGTATTGATGTATAATTCCTTTTTTAGGTACTACCATTGATGTCATTTTGGTAAACGGTACTCTAAGAGAAGGAGATACAATGCTGTGCGCCGGTACTGACGGTCCTATTGAGACTCAAATTAGGTCGTTGCTTATGCCGCAACCTCTGAGGGAACTACGTGTGAAAGTAAGTATTGAGTTTTTGTAAGGAACTGTTTTTACTGATTACTTTTTTTATATCATAATTTACGTACATTAATTTTAAACTTACTATTGTTTCCTTCTTGGTTTTTAGAACGCTTATATTGAATACAAAGAAATTAAAGCGGCTCAAGGAGTGAAGATCGCAGCCAAAGAACTGGAAAAGGCAATTGCCGGGTTGAACCTCTATGTGGCCCACAAGTCGGACGAAATCGATATAATGAAAGAGGAGGTGGCTAGAGAACTTAAATCTGCTTTGTCGAACATCAAATTAGCCGATAGAGGAGTGTATGTGCAGGCATCTACACTGGGATCTCTTGAGGCTTTATTGGAGTTCTTGCGAACTAGCAAAATACCGGTAAGTGTGACTTTTTTCCACGTTGTCGTGGTAGTTCTTCGAAATGGTGTTTTTATGTTTATTAGTTATGTATTTCTGGTTTCATCTAGAAATTTTTTCTTTGGTTTACATACTTACTGATCGTCACTAACTATAACTTACTATATTTTAACACTGCTATAGAGACTGGCTGCTATAGATTTATTTGTAGTAGGATTATTTTAAAACATTATAGTTGCTCAAAAAAGTATTCCTCTAATTTTTTGGAGCATTGTTCTTTGACATCGTTCATGGTAGATTATAGAAAAAAATATAAGCCGAGATATGACAGAAACAATTGGGACAGAGTCATTCTTTAGTTTAACCCTTTGAAGCCCAATTTTTATTAAATTAAAAAAAGGATTTTTGTGAAATTTATTTATTTTAGTATATTCTTAAAACAAATTTACTCAAAATAAACAATGCTGATCCTGAAGTAAACCCGGTTCGCTAATCCCAGTCCGAACTGTCTAGTGATTTTAGTAATTATGTTGTTACGAAGTTAGTTACTTTTTGACAGACTAGAAGTGGCTGGAAATTACTATACGACCAAGCACACGTGCTCATAGCGCATTTCATTAAAGTATTTCGTCGACCTCTTTTGCAAACTTATATGATTTATTTATATGAAATTTATAGCACGTATAAAGATAGTAAGTTTCTATTATATGTAAAAAATAAAAGTTACCGTAATTTAGTTTATATCGTTAGGTTACGCCAAATATAGGCAACCAACTTAAACTTTTTGTTAGCATTTATGCTGAAGTTTCTTGAGAATATATTTAATTTTATTAAAGAATAAAACTTTTAGCAAAAAGCTGCTATCGCTTTGTTGTATTAAATTGGCCAAATATATGGCCTAGAAGGACAAATTCGTTAAACTGTATCAGCCCAAGTGTCTGCCGATGGCTGGGATAGGCCGAAATGATCATAACACTTTAGTGATACCGATTCGAGCACGGGAAGTTTAACGAATTTGTCCTCCTAGGCCATATATTTGGCCAATTTAATTTTATTAATTATTATTTTTTAAAGTGATGATAATAATGTTGAATAAGCCATATTTCAAATGATATATAATCACAAGACGTTCTTAATATTGTGTTATATAATATAATCCTCATAAAGTACGTTAGATAAAAAATATAATATTCATATTATAATTAAAAAATATTATGCATCAAAAGGATAATACAATATCATCAAAAATATTATAATATTCTATTATTACTATCATAAACTAGTTTTTTTTTTCTAATTTTAGCTAATTTCTATTAGAAACGTACTTTATGAAGATTATATAAAATAATATTAAGTACTTTTGTGATTAAATATCATTTAAAATATTGCTTATTCAGCATTATTATCATGACTTTTAAAAAATAATAAATTAACTGGAAAATATTAAACGTTTATTAAAAATATTCTCAAGAAACTCCAGCTAAATGCCAAAAAAGTTTAAGTTGGTTGCCTACATTTGGAGCAACTTAACGGTATAAACTAAATTACTGTAACTTTTTTATAAAATATATTTTTTATATATAATATACATCTTATATATAATAGAAACTTTATACATTCTATATATACATGGATGTTAACTGAATTTTTTTTGTTATTAAGAATATATTTACAGAACTTCATAAATATATTTTAGTGATCAACCTACGCCGAATGAGCAAATAATTAAAAAAACGGTTGGTGTTTTGAATAAATCTTTGTGCAGGTTGATTACCTTGTAATTTAACAGCATCCTTAATCATCTAAAAATATTAACTTTTAAAGAACATTTATCATATTTATTTAAGAAAAACTTACCAACGCATTATCTGATAGAACAAATGGAAAACTTTGACTATCCCTAATAATAAAATTCAAAATAGAACTATAACTAAATAAACTAAATAGAACTAACAATAATATTTACTACAATATAATATTAAATTGTAGTAACTCAAATAGTATATTTTAAATATACAGGGAAAATTTGATGGGTTTAGTATACACTTCCACTATTTAGAATAAATCTTCTTTTTTTCAAAGAAAGAAGTCTGCAATAGTAGTATACTTGAGCTATTAATACTGAGAAGTATTACAGGTAGCACTTCTTTCTTCCTATTCTTCCTATTGTTTTACATGGGACGTTGCAAAACAATTTTTGTCGTGCTTGAGACAAACTCCGACATTGCAAGATGAACATTTCCACTGTGTTCTGTTAACATTTGCTGTCGTGCTGCAGTTGGCACATCTCAAAGAAGTATTAGAAGACTTTGAATGGCGCAGTTTCAAGGGAATACGCCTTTTGAATTTACTCACTGGTTTTTCTGCTGATAGTCTTCCCCTTTTTAATTGTTCTGGAGCTCCAATAAGGCCTCTAATCATAGAGAGCCGGAATTCTTTCAAAGACATACTTTTAAATTGGCTTCTAAGTTGAAATAGAATGAATGCTTTTACGACGCAAGCATCTACAAAATAAAAAAATATTCTATGCCACCACTTGTGTGATTTACGATTCATCTCATTAAGACTTTTCAGCATGTCAAATTTGTCAACATATCCATATGTGAGTTGTAGATCACTACCATTTGTGGACATGAAACCTCATTCAGAGTAGCGTCTTTTTTGTCTTTTCTTTACAAGTTCGTTTGTTGCTGGATTTTTGTGATTTGCTAAAAGAATATCACACTTCTGCGATCCCTCCACTTCAATGCAGATAGTCCATCTGTTGAAATACGGAAATGTGAATCTCCTCGATTTATTTGTTTGTCAGTTTTGAACTCTGGTAAATCCTTTCTTTTGTTTTAACAGTTCCACTTGCGTAAATTCCGTCCGACAATAAAGATCTCTGAATATCAATACAGTTGAAATAATTGTCAAAGAACACTCGGTGGTATTTATTTACTAAAACCCTTGTTAGATCCTGTACGACTAGTTGTCCTAAGTTTTTTTCGGTGGAATTTCCCACTTTACCGATATATATCTGGAGCTCGCACATGAATCTGCTCTAACGCATACTTTGTAGCCACCTTTTATAGGTTTATTGGCATGTACTGTCGGATACTGCTTCGACCTTTGAATCGTATCATAGAATCATCAATCGCTTGAAACTCATGTGGATTCAGTGCTACAAGAAACGTTTCCTTGAGTTTGGCCAGTAGAAGTCGCACTTTGTAAAGTTTATCAAATCTGGTATCAGTTTTTTTTTGATGCACTGTATTATCAACCAGTTGTAAATTGGCTAGTAGCCAAGCGAATATGTTAAGTGACATAGTCACGTAACAGATAACAGTCAATAATCTCTGTAACTGGGCATTTCCTTTATCTTCTTCTTCTTCAGATGCAAATCCACTAATGGATGTTAGCGATCACATTTTCCATTAATTCTCTATTTCTTGCAATATATATCAGAGATTTTATGTCGTTAATCCCTGACCATTGCGTTATGTTTCGGAGCCAGGACATTTTCTTGCGTCCCATTCCTCTCTTGCCTTCAATTTTACGCTCGATTATAAGTTGGAGGAACTGGTATTTTTCATTTCGCATGATGTGACCTAGATACGTCGTTTTCCTTTTCTTGATGGTTTCGAAAAGTTGGCTATCTTGGTTTATTCTTTTAAGGACATCTATATTTGTGATTTTCTCTGTCCATGGTATTTTTAGGATACGGCGATAAAGCCACATTTCGAAAGCTTCTAATCTTTTATATCCCTCGTTTTGAGTGTCCAGCCCTCTACGCCATATAGCAGCACTGACCATACGTAGCACTTAGTAAACATTAGTCTCAGTTGAAGATCTAACTATCGAACTCTGAACAAGTCAGTATCTTCTTGAATTTTACGAAAGCTTGTCGAGCTTGCTCAATGCGACATTTTACTTCCCTGCCCGATGCCCAGTCTTCAAAAAGCCACGATCCCAGGTATTTAAATTTACTCACTCTTTCAATGGACTTAGTATTCAGTGTTATGGTGGAGTTTTCGAGCGCATCCAAGTTTCTGGAGATGATCATGAATTTGGTCTTTTTGGTATTAATCTCTAATCCCATTCGCTTACTGTATTCTCCGATTATAGTGACAAGTTGTTGAAGATCGACTATGTTGTCACAAATTAAGACACCATCATCAGCATATCGTATGTTGTTGATCAATACTCCATTCACCTTGATTCCCATCTCTGCATCTTCCAAAGACTCTTGAAATATGGCTTCCGAATAAATGTTAAATAAAAGAGGAGAAAGCACACATCCCTGTCGAACGCCTCTACTTTTTCTTTCCTATTTCCTTTATACCCATTAATAAATTTACTCCAAGCAATGTTTTGACTTCGTCTTCTGTAGTAGGTGTAAATCCATTTCCTCCTCCGTGTGTTTGAACGTAATATAGATTGGTTTGAAACCCAATTAGGTGAATTAGATCATCAGGAAATAGTTCTAAAAACACATATGTGGGGTTCTCTGCAGAATTTGGAATGTTTGGGCTTCAATAAATTGATTTGTTTATGTTATATAACTTTCATTTTGATTTCAAAATATAGAGTTATCTTACTTTACTAGCCGTACTGCTAGCGGTACATCGTCTTCACTATCCGATTCTTGATTATTTGGAGTATTGGTTGTTTCATCTTGATTTTTAATTTGGTCTTCAAACACGATGTCCATGTTTCCAATATCAAAGACATCCTCATTATTTGGTCGCCGAAAATCATTAACATCCAATTCATCTCCCAAGACGCTTTGAATATCAGAGACAATTGACTCTTGGTCACTTGGAATTTCGTCCAATAAGGCGTCAACCTTGTTTTGGGACATATTTTCCAAATGCCTGAAGCTCCACTTTGATTTTGCATATTGGCAGAATTCATATAGGAAGTGCCCTGTGGTCCTTCCAGAATATCACATAAAAGACAGTGATCTACAAAAAAATTGAAATGTATTCATGCAAATAACAGTACTTAGTGTTTTTTTGTTTGTATTTTGAGAACGATTT